CACTTCACCACTTCCCAGGGGGTTCTCCCTCCCCAGCTGAATGCCAAAAAGGAAGATTATCATGAAGACTGGAAGAGGTGATGGGTGTGGACATGCCTGGTGCAGCATCACACCTGATAGCAGTCAAAACCCTCTGGCTAGGCAAGGAGAGGGAAGTGTATTTTCTTGGCCAAAGAGCTCAGGAATGTCCAAATCCTATGCAGCCAAGAGGATACCCAAGAATGTCTTTATTACCACCTGACCTGACATGGTCTGGAATGGGGTTTAAGGTTTGGGCTCAAGACCAGGATAAGGTCTCTCTGCTTCCTAAGCCTGGAACTTGCCACCAGCCCACAGCTGGTTGCCCCTGTGCCAGGATGCTGGTGTGGTGCAACCTGTCAGGGAGAGCCACCCACTGCGAACAGGAAATCAGATGAGTATCTCTGCCCCCACACCAACAGGGACCTCGATATGACATAATGGCTGCTCGCTGAGGGCCTAGCACCATCTTATGAGCCTTTCATGCACCACTTTCTTGGAGCCTCTCTCCAAGCTTGAGAGGAAGGACTACAGTCAGACTCGACACAGGCGACCGACAGAGGCTCACAGAAGTGACTTGCTCCTACAGTTCAGAAGTAGCAGGGGCGGGGAACTGGACTCAGGCTATAGGGCATTGAGTGTGAGGTCCTCACCTCTCCCAGGTGAGGGAGCCCACCTGCACCCCCCTCCCAGGGCAGTGGAGGGGCTTAAATGATCTGAGCATCGTGCCTGGTTGGAGGCAATCACTCAAATGATGATACTTTCAGAATGCTGGCTTCAGACCTGCCTGTCTTCCTCATCTGCCTGCCGAACCCCAAGAGAGAGCAACAGGCCCTCGTCCACACCCCCCATGCCTGGGTACCCAGCCTGGGGCCTGTAGCACGCTGCCAGGACACGATGGCCACTAAACTCACTGCCCCCAGCAGAGACCCAGAGAAGGGGAGAGCCGGGCCCCACTCCCCATCCCAGAGGAGGAGATGAGCTCTCCCCACAATTCTCAGCCCACAGCCATCCAGCTCTAATCAAGGTGCAAACACGAAAAGGGAATCTCTAAACATTTAGAAAACGCGGGAACTCTGTGCCCCACGTGGCACCGTGGGGATTTATAAAGAACAAATCATGCCTGACAAACTTGATAGCTTTCTTGATAGAATTACAAGACCGGTAGATGAAGGAAATGCAGGCAGGGTAATATATCTTGATTTTTAGCAAAGCATTTGATACAGCGTTTCAAGTAATCTTACGAAATTAATTCAAACAGACTTGGCCCTCAGCACTTGTCATGGGGCCAAAGGCAGGAGGGGGCAGGTCCCAAGGGTCCTGAGTTGGGGAGCATAGCCCAGGGGGAAGGGGCTGAGGGGCAGAGTCTGGGAGTGGGGGCAGGGCTGCCCAGCCCCAGCAGTGGGTCAGATCTTATCTGACATCTTCATTAATGATTCTGAGAGAGGGAGTAAACAGTCCGTTAATGAAATTTGCAGAGGATATTAAATTGGAAGGTGTTGTGAACACCAATGAGGACAGCAAAGCGGTCCAGAGAGACCCGGGGGGGGGGTGGGGGGAGAACCCTGGCAGTAGATTGCTATTGGGGAGGGGTGGGGGGAATGTCCGGGCAGCACCTGGGGCTACCTGGAGAGTCAGGGAAGTGGGAAGGGCATCCCCAGGGCTTGGGCAGAGCTGGGAGCAGCCACAGCTCTGTTCCCTGCATGAGCAAACCAGAATCTCAGTTTTCCCACCTGTAAAATAGAAGGAAAGGCTGGTAGCTGTGGAGCGCTGGTAGTGATGGGGGGTGAGGGAGCCATGGTGGAGCTGAAGCCACCCTACAGGAGGGGAGGAGGGGTCGTCTGCAGGCCCCAGAAGGGAGGGCTGGCGAGGGAGACTGGCTGAGCCATCCCCAGTGCACACAGAGTCCCCGGGGCACCGCTGTGACCCTGCCGAGGCAGGTGCTGTGGGGTAAGGGGGCAGGCCCCTCTCCCAGTTGGCTGGAGCCCCGAGCTGTCCAGACTGGTAGGCTGTGCTGGGAACACTTCAGCAACAGAAGTTCTAACCTGGGGGGGTGGCAAGGGGAGGGCAGGGTCTGTTTTCTTTCTGGAGAGTTCCTGTTCTCTCTTTCATCAGGAAGGAGAGGCCTCTCCAGGATCAGCAAGAGGTGCCCCACCCCAATGCCTTCTCTCTATCCTCAGAGCCTGGACCTGTCCTGTCCCTCTCCCTCTGGCCCGATCCCAAGGAGGCTGAGGCAGAAAGCTGCCCATCCATCTGGACTTGGAGGATTTGTTCCCACAAGGCTCCTAGACAGGTGGGGTTTGAACAGGAGCCAGGGCTCCCTAGCACAGTGACGGGCCCTCTGCAACCTAAATAAATGCTTTGTGGGAGGAAGAAATGGATGGCTGGTTCCCAGCTGGGGGGAGCTGGGAGAAGCTCTCCCAAAGCAAGAGGCCAGCCCTGCCCAATGTCAGGACCACCTGCACAGAGGATAGCCCAGGTGACAGCACAGGGTGGGGGTGGGGGTGGGGGCTCCTTCCAACTCCCTGAATTAATAATCATAACACTTACTGAACGTTTACTATGGCTCCATTATGAGTGCATTCCTCATATTAACATATTTGACCTTCATAGCCACCCAAGAGGTTAGGTGCCCTTTCCTCCCCATTTCACAGATGAGGAAATTGAGGCATAGGGCAGCTGAGATGCACCTGGACACCTAGCCAGGAGGCCCATGGGAGAAGTAGCAGTCGGCCAAGAGCCACAAGTAAAGCTCAACAGCTCCGGATCAGGGGGACCCCAGTGGGTGGGAGAGGCAGCCCCTCCTGCAGGGACCCCAGCCTCTCCCTGCCCCCATCAAAGGGAGTCGGCCCAACTCCTGCCACACTTGTGGAGCGATTTTACTATATGTTTCCCTTCTCCCCACTGCTGCCGCGCTACACTGAGTCCTCAGAACAAGTCTGTTTCCATGGAAACCATACAGTGACTCAGGGCTTCGGGACCTTCTCTGAACCAGATTATGAATATCAAATGCTCCCTCCCCACACCAATGCAGAGTGAGTTAGAAAAGTAAAGAGAGAGCCACAATGGGCAAGAAAAGGAGATAGGGGCGTGGGCAAAGGGATCCTCGAGGGGTACAGCCGCCACCACCACCCCCCCCGCCCCCCGGCCCCATGCCATGAGAGCCTGGCTTCTGGGCCCCCCTGCAGCCTCAGGGGAGCACAGATGCACACCTCTGTGTCTGCAGCCTGCACACACAAAACGCCTATATCAGCTCCATGAGCACCACCCTTCCTCTGGAACTAGGACCCTCCTGTGGGTGGGGGGCAGGGAGGTAAGGGGATCTGCATCCTTCCTACTTGGGGCCTGAACATGGCAGAGGTGGCCAAGAGGCAAGGGAGGAGGAAAGCTGTCTGGGAGAGGAGCTCGACTTCTGATGCTGAGGAGGGAACCCCTGGCCAAAAGCATTGCAATATTTAGCAAAGAGGGAAATTTGGATTCTAGGGGGGAGGGGGAAATCTGTTTCTGCTTTGAGATGAGGAGGTTGTGTTGAGTAGGTGTGCCAGGAGGGGGGCGTGACTGTGATTTCAAAGCCCCAGCAAGCTTTTTTTTTGGGGGGGAGGGGATCATTAGCGGAGACTTCCTCCCAGTTGCCCCTACCCTGGCCTGGCCTAGGGCAGCTCACCTGCCCCAGTGGAGACCTAGCAGGGAAATGAAAGTTTGCAGTGCCAGGCTCCAGGCCTCCCACAGGGGGCTCAGGCCCAAGGGCAAATCCACCTCCTCCTTTCCCCCACTAGCTCCCTGAAGACTCAGAGGGGAGGGGAAGAGAACAGGTAGGCTGGAGGCTTGATACCTCCCTGGTGAATCCAATGTGTGAGTCATGACGGTGAGAACACTTGGAAAAAGAAACAGGGTCATGGTGATGCCTGTGAGTGTCCCCAGTTGCTGAGGACTGGAGCCTTGGAACTGCCTGCCCAGGTAAGGTCTCTGCCTAAGACAGCCAGCCCCATCGGAAGGAAATGAGAAAGCCCTGAAGGTGGGTACGTGGACCCTTAGCCCCCACCTGCTCGCCTCTTAATACCTACAGTTCCTTTGGCTTGCCACAGCTGGCACTCTCCCAGCCTCGGTGCCTGCCTCCGGCCCCTAATCCTAAGTCCCCTCTGCTCCCTGCCCTACCAGTCCTCCAAAAGACGCTGGGCTCCAGGCTGTCCTTCTCAGGAGCCTCCTGCTTAGGAGCAGTGTTTTAAGTCATGGGCAGGAAACCTGCACCAGAGGTGAGGAACCTAATCCTGGGAAACGGCCAGACTGGGGTGGGGGGCACCCTGTGGTACGGCAAATCAGGCCACGGTGCCACCCTAGGACGATCCTCAGGTCTTACCTTTTAACCCCTAGCATCCCAGCCGGGGCCACTCTGGGCTGTTACTGTGAAAGCAAGCGCTGGGTTCCCGGAGCCCGGGAGGGGCTGCTCCCGGGGTCCTACCCGGGGAAGAGCGGGGTGGGGGGGGGTCTGCCTTCCCGAGGGGGGCTCTGCACCATCCCTCCGGCGGCCCGCGCCCCCCGGGAGACCCGGCTCGTCGCAGAGTGATTGGGGCGGGTTCGGAGCCGGGCGGGGGGACAGGGAGCCGGGGGCGGCCCCCGGCCTCCCGGCGCAGCCCCGGTTTGGAAAGTTGGTGCAGGCGTAGGAGCTCAGGGTCGCGAGGCGCCTCGGCAGCCCCGAGCCGGGCGGGCAGTGGGGCGGCGAGTGCGCTCCGTGGCCGCGGGGAGCCGGGCGCCTCGGGGCCGCGGCGCGTCTCAAGTTTGCTGCCCCCGCCGAGTGGGGGCGGGGAGGCTGGGCCGGTCGCCGCGCCCCCGCCCCCGCCCCCGCCCCCGGCCCGGGGAGCCCCCCGCACCCCCGGCCCGCGCCGCCGCCGACCGTCCTCGGGCGGAGGGGCGTCTCCCCCGCGCCCGCGCCCCCCCGCCGCAGCGGCCGCAGTCCGCTCCCGCCCGCCCGGCCCGGCCGGTACCTGGTGGGGGGCGCCCCGGGAGCCGCTGCAGCGCCCAGCGCCGGCTCCATCCTCGGGTCCGGAGTCAGGCTCGCCGGGGGCCGGCGGGCGGCGGCGGCGGCGGCATCGGCGGCGGCATCCTCCGCCTTCCGCGCCCTCCTGCTCGGCCTCCCTCCTCCCTCCTCTTCCACCGCCTCCGCGCGCCCCTCACGGGCCCCTCTTCATGGCCCGGGGCGCGAGCCCGGGGCGGCCCGGCGGCGCTCAGCGTTCTCCGGGCGGGGCGCGGGGCCGGGGACCGGGGCGCGAGGGCCCGAGGGCGCGGGGCCGGGGCCGGGGCCGGGACCCAGCGCGCCGCAGCCCCGGGGCCGGAGGAGAGCAGCCGCCGCAGGCGCCGGAGCCTCGCCGAGCGCCCGCCCGCCCGCCTGCGACCCGAGCCCCGAGCCCCGAGCGGCGGCGCTGGCTACCGCGGCGGCTACAGCGCCGAGCGAGCGGCGGGCGCTGCGGCCCGGGCTCCACCCCCGAGCCGCCCGCCCCCTCCTCGTCCCCGCCCCTCCCGCGCGCCCTCCCGCGCCCCGCGCCGCCCCGCGCCCCGGCCTCCAGCTCCGGATGCCCCCACCGCAGGCCGGCTCCCGCGCCAGCCCTCCCCCCCCCCCCCGCACCCTGCCCCCAGCTGCCCGGAGGGGGCCACACCCACACCCACACCCACACCCCCGGGTTGGGGGCTCGCAGGCGAGGGCACGGGCTACCCCCTGGCACCTCTTCCCATACCCTCCGGGCCCTCCCACCGAGGGCACTCACGGAGCGTCCCCCAAGAAGTGCAGCTGGAGCCCCAACCTGGCCCCGGCCGATGTCCTCTACCCCGCCCCAGGCCAGCACCACCGAGGGCCTCCAGAACCCAGAACGAGAGCCATCCACCTCTTGGTGCCAGTACCCCAACACACACCCCTAGCCTGTTACCCTCCCACCCCCCAACCTTTATCTCTCAGATGCCCAACTGAATCATTTGCCCTGCTCCAGTTGTGCCTCCTGGGCAGGGTCTAGGGCTGCCTTGGGGTGGGGGCACCCCTAGGTGGATTTGCTGGGGACAGTCTCCAGGCCAGCCCCACCCCCTTCCCACCGACTGCCCCTGGCACTCCAGGTGGAAATGTGCAGCCACTGCTGCCCTTCTGGAGGGCAGATCTGCCGTGACAGCCAGAGCCAGTAGGCTGAGCACCTCAGTTCTTCATTCTTTGCACAAATATTGACTGAGCATCTCCCGCAGGCCAGGCCTACATGGGCACCAGGGACTCATTGGTGACAAGACAAACGGACCCCTGGACCTCTCAAGAGTGGAATGGAGAAGCAGGCAGAGTGCCATGTGATCAGCAGCCCCCGAGCTGGCGAATGTGGCAGAGAATCCCAGCTCCGCCACCGGGTCTGCCAGTGCCAGGGCTGGCCACCGCGGAGGCCTTTTTCCTCGTCTGCAGAAGGGTAGGTGGTTGTGTGGCGGCCTGAAGCCCTGCTACTCCTCAGCTCTGACCAAACAATTCTCTTCTCAGGCAGGGAAGGGCAGCCAGCTTCCATCTGCACCCATATCTGAATCTCTGACTTCCAGTCCTGGCCTCTCCATCACTCCCAGACTGGCCCCAGGCATGGAGGGCTTGAAAACTCCAGGGACCCTGGGAAAGCCTTTGTGCCTGTTTCCTCGGCCGGAAGATGGAGATACCGGTCCTCACCTCGTGGGGCTGCTGTGAAACACCAGATGGTAAGATGCATGTAAGCCCTCAGCACAATGTCTGGCACATGGCAAGTGCTTAATAATCCCACCGTGGTGGTGCTGCCATCGGCTGGTGGGTGTCCAGGGTAGCTGTCACTCACTCCCCCAGAGGATAACATGGACCTTGTACTTCTCCAGGGGACTCAGGACTCAGACCATCAAAAAACTCTCTCCACCTAGAACTAGATGGTAGGGAGGCCCCTGCTCCCAAGGTCCCACCAGACCAGTGATCATTTGTCTTGGTCACAATTGCAAAATCTTAATTGTGAACTCCCTCCAGTCCCCCCACCCACCCACCTCAAGCCTGGCAGTGGATCCCCATCAAGCAGGACCCAGTGTGACCCAGTGTGATCCAAGATCACCTCTAGTGTGCGGCCCTGCCTCTGCCCTGCCTGCCCTCCACCCACCGCAGATGGCAGTGCCGGTCCTCCAACCTGATCTCAAGGTGACTAGATCTGTTTCCCAGCCTGCCCCCCGCAGAGTGGCAGTGCTCTGGGATGGCTAACAAGAGTGCTGACCTTCCAGAAGCAAGGACTTCATGTTTCAAAATTCCATTTGTCCCTCCGTAGAAAACCAACCTCTAACAGCCCAGAGCTGAGCCATCAGAACCTTCTCTTTCACCCAGAGCTAATCCCTCCCTGAGACTTTGGCCTGACAAGAATACTCAGGGTTTAGAGAACACCTTCTCTATCTCACACTCTCAGATCCAGCACCTCATTTTTCAAATTCTGGTGTATTTCGGGGTGGAAAAGAGGGAAATGTACATCTGGCTGACATGAAAAGATTGGTGTGGTTGTAATGTAAAGACAGAGTGGAATCTGGATTTAAAAAAAAAAAAAAAAGAATATTTAAACTCTAAAAATAGACATAGGCCCTGGTCTCAGGAACACCAGGATTCTGGTTCTGGTTTCCAGAAATCTCCCAATTGATAAAAAGCATGAGTGGTTCATGAGCACATACTGTGCAAGTGACTTGGAGGGAAAGAGAAGAAGCAGAAAACAAAGGCATAGGTCTTTGCTTGGAGAATTTGGATCCCAGGCAGTGAAGTGGAAAAGAGCCATTGCCACAAATGTGATCAAGTGCAAAGCAGGTAGCCTTGAAAGTCAGGAAGATGCAGCCTTGGAGAGTTGTTCAAGGAGGGCTTCCTGGAGGAGGCAGCAGTTCAACTGAGGCTTGAGGGATGGGCAAGATATAAAAAGGCAAAAGAGCAGAGAAGCCTGGGAGAAGCAACAGTAGTCAGATTGGGCTTATTTGTGGGATATTAAAAAGGTTCATATTCGTGGCTAATATTTGTGGTCTTACCTCGTGCCAGGCACTGTGCTATCTGCTTTGTGCAGATCATTTTGTTTCTCCTCCAAAACAACCCTAGGAAGGAGGTGTTCCCATTCCCATTTTACAGATGAGGAAACTGAGGGCCAACGACTTGAAGCAGCTTGCCCAGGTTCGCAGAGCTGCTCAGCCACGGACCCAGTACTGGAGCCAGCAGCCTGGGCGCACACCCTCACAGCTCTGCCGGGCCACATTCAGTCAGCCTGGCTAGTTGGGGTGCCTGCGGGGGAGAGCAGGAGGTCCAGTGGGCCGGGGAGCATGATGCCAGGGGTAGGGACCCAGACGCCCAAGGGCTTTCCTGAAATAGAGCCCCCAGGCCCTCCTGGAGGACTCTAATATGAAGCATGCCCTTCCCTTTCCCCGGCACGCAGGCCCCTGGGTGCTTGGAAATTGGTTAAGGGACTTGGGGGCTCCAGACTTCAGTTTTTTAATATCTCTTGCCTGCCCATCCAGTGGCAGTGTGTGCCACCCACCTTGTGATTTCAGTCTATTCTGGGAGATGGATGGCCCAGGCTCTGATGTAAGATGTGCCGTCGGGGTCCTCAATTTCCCCTGTCTCACTGGGGATGCTGACAAGGCAGCGAACCCCTGGGAGGGTGGCTCCTGGCTCTTCCCAGACTGCAGGCCTGCGGGCCCGCGGCACCTGTGGAGAAAGTTCTGATCAGAAAATCTGGGTAGAGGCAGGCAGGCCGAGTAGACCCGTCCTCTAGAGCCTGGTTTCCCACAGATGAAGTGGAAAGCCTGCTACTGCCCAGGCCCATGCACGAGAGGGCTGGAGGAGCCGCCAGAGGCCAGCCGGCCCCACTCCCTCGTTTCACAGGTGAGCAAACCGAGACCCAGAGCAGGTAAGTGACTTACCCTAACTTCGGATGGCCACTCAGGAAGTGAGTTGAGCTTTCAGTCAGGTTTCCTACTTTTTGAAGGAAAGGTCTCTTCCATACCTCTTGTCCGCCACTTCTCCCCAACATTCTGGATGAATTCCTCTTCCAGATAAATCGAGGGACCTGAACTTGTTTGTGGTTGAAATAAAACAAATATTTGAGGGCCTTACCTCGGGCCAGATGCTGCACTCTTCCCTCAGATGTATACAATTCCAGGTCTTCTTCAGAAGACTGCCGTGCGTCACTGGGCGCAGACGTCACCAGGCCCTGCTAGCTCCTGAAGTCAGAAAACTGTATCATTTTGGCAAAAGTTCACAATTCCTGTTCTTGCCCTTTCTGGCCTAGTCCAGTCCTCAGCCAAAGCCCCTTGAAAAGTCACCCCACTGCCCCACCTTCCGGGGTTTCTGTGAATCCCTCTGAGGGAATTTGTGTTGCTCCCAGACCAGCCCATGTGCTGCAGGCTGCCTCTTGTCATATTTGTCTGCTCTTGCTCTAGAACTTGCCAAAGGCCATGAGGCTACTTGAAGGAGGACTCCCACCCCCTGCTATGCCCCTGCTATGCCTGATTAGAACCCTGGTGGGGAGGCTAACGTCCAGGCAAAGGGGTGACTCCTGATGCCCCCAGAGCCTCAGACCATGGGCTGCCAGAGGCTAAAAGAGCAGCATCTTCCCAACGCAGGGGTCCGAGGTCCCCAGGGCTGTGAAGCACAGCTACTTAGGCCCCAGGACCTCTGGACAAAGATGCTGTCCTGCTGGTGGCTGCACCATCTAACCAGAGGCCTTGAGTGCAGGCCAAAGAGCCAAAGAGGAGGACACCATTCCCTCCTTAGTCCTCTTCTTGGCACCACTCCCAATAGACAGTCCCTCTCCTTCTCCAGTTACAGAACAAAATGCCCCAAGTAAATTAGAGGATGTCAACAAATCTTGGTGGAGGGGAGGAAACAAAGAAACCAAGTGATTTGCTTCTGGTAAGTAGCCAAGCCACAACACACCTGCTGCCCAGACCACCCTGGCCAGCACAGGGCTCTGGCCCTCCTGGGCCTCGTGGTTGGGAAGCAGGAGCAGTCTGCGTTGGTCCTCAGCCAATCCCTTGGGCTCCATCATCCTTCCTCTGGTCTCGAGTGGTCCAGCCCAGGTCTTGCAGGGCCGGTCTTATCCAAGTCCCCCAGAGTTTCTGGGAGGAAGAAGTCAGAGAAATCCAGATGTCCACTTCCTCCTGAGGGAGGAGCCTACTCCCCAGCTGCCCTCCAAGGAAGAGGTCCAGCATAGATGTTGACCTTCCTCATGCCACTCTGCTGGTCATTACCACACTGACCCCAGAGACCCAGGCTGAGAAGAATCAGGTGGTGCTCTCAGGATCCAGCGCTTGCCCCAGTGCTTCCCAGAACCTGCCTGCTGGGGGAGCAGAGACATGGCCACAGGGCCTGTGTTCATCTGGAAACTTCTGCT